CTCCTGTAACGATCACAATCATTTGATGGTGTTACCAACACATTCAATTTCCACATGTATGTAATATGTACATGTGCGGGTATATGGAAGTGGATCCTATACTTTGTGTGTACTCCTCTAAAGTAATTGCCAGTTGTTGATCACACTCTTGCAGTGCTTTATGTAGCAATCTAACATCTGTCTCTGATAGTAAAGCAGATTTTTCCATTTCTGCAAACACGTCCAGCGGTGTCTGGAATGAAAAGACAAAGTTTTTAGTTCACAGAGGCTGTTTGTGGGACAGTCATCATCTCTGGTGCCATCAAATCCACAACTCGGTTTCCATTTGCATCAAATGCAAAGCACAGAAAATAATACTTAGTGGAGATTTTAATTGAATTTAAGAAAAATACAAAACAGTGAGATTCCATATTACAGAAATTCAACCAAAGTAATAGACATTATTATTTACAAATAATCTATGCTGAATTCAGAAAGTTACTTGTGGGACTCCTCAAAGTTCAGTGCTCAAACCTACACTGTTCAAACGGTATGTCTATAAATTTATGTTGTTCTGGGATAAAAAAAGTGAAGCAGCGTTTCAATACAATTTAAAGGGAATTGTAAGTTTTTAAATATGAATAAATTATCACTAACCTATAGCAAAATAAAGAAGAAGGATAATTATATAATAACAGGAAAATTAAATAACAAATTCCAAATAACGATGAATAACAGTTAAACAAAAGAGGTGTAAATAGATGGAAATTGACACCACCAAAATTTTTTATCTTCAATTACAAAATTAATTGTTCCTTGTTAGTTTCACATAGTAAGGATGTCAAACTCATTTTGATTTGACCAGAGAAACACACCTTTCTGTCAGTGAAAAGACATTTAACTAATTTCAACAGCATATCTCAGTTTTTCTACACGACACAGAAATGCTGCTGTGGTAAACTTTCACCATGACTGTTTGTGTTTAAATTCTAAAAAATAAATGTGTCAATTTTCAGAGAAAATTCTAGTAGTTCGTTGCCTCGTTGCCCTGACTGGCCTGTAAATAGGAAACAAGAAATGTGCTTTTTTGTGTGGACGCACAAGAAAACAACATCCAAAAACCTTCCATATTTAACATTGAAAAAACAGGAACTTTTCTGTTTTTTTAAATAACGTAATTAATGTGGTGTACCAGGGATGGTCACCAGAGAGATGTGTATGGGTAGGAAAAGCCGAAAAATATATTAAATTATAGTTAAAAAGAATTTAGGCCTTGCTTCACATTTTCTAAAGCTGCCTAATGGGCAGGATTGGAGTCTTTTCTCAGACTGATTCTGGACCTCAGGCTTTATGTTTGACACCCCTGTACAACATCAGAACAGTTAGAGGGATATCATGTGTTTGCTGATATATTCATCTCAGCATTTATGCATTTATATAAAAAAATAAACAGGAGAAACACCCTTCACCATATAACGATGGCTGATGTTGTATAGTTCGTTCTGCAGAAGGTACTCTAGTTATATGTTAGTTACACACATGTTGTGAAAGCTGCAAACACAACAACCAGCTGATCCAAGCAAAGTTGGGCAGAGTGTAAACAAGTAATCCATGACCTCTTATGACAATAAAAAAATAAATCTGATTTTAGCAAGGACTGTAAATAACTACATTTAATAAATAGTATGGAAATCTGTTTATGTTTCATGTGTCTGGAAAGAAATCCGCATTGGTTGCACTTTAGCTGCATGCAAAAATAAACAAATCCAGTTTTCCTGCTTTTACTTTTTTCCCCTCTTTAGAAGAAAACTCTTGAGAATCGATTAGTTTAAGCCAACCAACAGACTTTCAGTAAACTGCATGCTTTTATGATATCACTGATCTCAACTTTGCACTGATGATGTACAAAGCACAAAATAATAAACTGTATTCAGAGGCTGGTAGTTTCCACTTGAACTTCAGTGTGTGAAAAGCCTCTGTAAACAGTACTCAGTCTATTTGACAGAACATTTCAAAGTAAAATTACCAGTTAACTACTCTTAGTAGTGGAAGTGTGTTCTTTACTGTGCTTACAAAATGAAAGGAAAAGTCGTTACATGCTGATCACAGCCTTTGATGTTCAGTAAAAAGCTTCTCACTCAAAAGCAGAAATGAAAAGGTGGATTGGTGTGTTCTCACCTTGGACAATTCCATTTGTCTCCTGCCCAGCTCGTCATTCAGTAGAAACTTCAGCTTTTCAAAGTTCTCTGTAGTGAAGCCATTGTATATAGAATACAGGGTCTTCCTAATGGTCAGAGAAAAACTTTTGATATATTACTATTCCTATGCTGCATGCTGTACTATTAAGATAAAAACCGAAAGCTTTTACCTGTAGTCTGACAGGACAGGACTAGCATCTGTTTCCTCTGGCGGTCTGCTGTCTGTCTCCAGGACCCTGACGAGATCTGCTCGATGGATGGTGTAGAGCAGCTGCCTGAGGAAGGCATCGTTTTGCAGCAGACCTTTTTCCTCTAATCTCATGAACAGGTCTTTTGCATCCTTAATCTGTAAGGAAAAAAACCCGCTCTTGAACATGAATATCCTAGGGCGTCATACTGTCAACGTGTTATTTAAAACAATTTCCCACAAACATGCTAACAAAACAAGTGTAAACACATTACAAAATTTGCTGTGCTCACGTTCTCCAGGCGTCTTCTGGTGACTACATCACGGCATAAGAAGCAAAGTTCTGCCACTTCAGAAGAGTCCAGGCCCTCATCTATGTGGGACAAAGTCAGCCTGTCCATCACGGCCTGGTCCTCAGCTCACAGCGATCTGCAGCTTTTATTGCTAACAGAAAACAAGTGTGCATGTTTTGATGGAGCAAAAACTGAAGTATTCAAAAACTTCATGCATTGCAAACAAGCAGTTTTACATTAATGACTAAAGATCATGGCTAGAATGTTCAAATAATGACAACAATAATAATAGCACCACACCATACACGATAAGATGCCATTACTGCCCTACGTAGAAGCACCGCTATACTGTATGTTTTTACAGGGAAACACAGTAAGATGACTACATAGAGAACTTTGTCTTCCATCGCTGACCTTTCAACAGCGAACTGTTATCTTGATCATTATTAAATGGCAGAGAGCTTTGGATGTTAGGCCACATCATCTCTGACTATCCAAACAAACAAACAAACAAACACCTGCAACATTTAAATGTTATTTACAATTTCCTATGAAAGGCTGGTTTTAAATTGTGTATTTGCATGGCAGCTTATACGTGACGCGGTGTCTTTCAGTCCTTCACGGTTTACTTTATTTCATGTTATTTTGGCCTCTCAATGCGTTCCTAGTAATCCCGTGTAGTCCCATGAAAAGACATCTGCGTGATACGACAGAGTGACGTCACTAACACTACCCACCCCGCCGCCAGTTTTGTTTCTCTTGACAAAAACGAACATTAAAAAGTTTTAAGTCAATGTTACATAACGTGGCCCAGAGTTTACGCTAACACTTTACGTCAGGTGAACTAAATTATGACGCTGAAACTTACCACCGCTGTCTCTCGCTGTTAGTTTACAGCTCCTTAGCGAAATGGGCGCGTTTTGTTAAATGCGAGGAAAATAACCCTTTAAACAAATGAAACAAAAAACTTTTTGGGAGCGAAAAAAATGCTGAAATATGTTTCAATGGCTTTTATTTCCGCTTTCTGTTAGAGCTGCAAATTCTTTCGTTTTCAGAGCAAGCGCCTCACGTAACTGGGTGTGACGTCACGGTATAGGAAGTTGAAGTTGAGTGTCGGGTGCTGGGTAGAAAATTTAAAAAAAATAAAGGCCACATAGGCCACATTCACACACAAACTATAGCGTTAGTGAGCTGACCAATATATTTTTCGCTTCACACTTGGCTACATGAGTTTACTAAGCTCAACTACAGCACATACTGGCACGTCTTTCATAATAAAATCAGTTTGTTTAGCATTGTAAACCTTTATTTTGAAAACTCCCATGCTTCTTTATTTTTTCTTAGACACATACATATCACTGTTGCCAACTTAGCGACTTTGTCGCTATATTTAGCGAGTTTTCAGACCCCCTTAGCGACTTTTTTTTCTGAAAAGCGACTAGCGACAAATCTGGCGACTTTTTCTGGTATTATTGGAGACTTATTTATGACGACTTTTTGACGTGAAAACGCATATCGCTCTTACTAGCAACAGGCAGCGGTGCTACCTTGGGCACCTCACCCGTGCCAAAGCGCTCACAGGCGGAGGATAGTCCTCCCCCAGCTGCTATCAGGGCAGGAGACCTGTGATATCATGAGACAACACCTGTGCGTCCAAACGGCAAATGAATCGCGCATGAGCGAAGCCGCTGCTCCCGCACTGACTGTAACGCAGTCAGTTCTTTTACCGTTATGCTGTTTTGTGGATCACAAGGTGTAAAACTACTTATAAACGCACACTCTCACACATAAAGTAACTCCACCAGAGTGCCAATTTCGGGTCACTTTTGCCGGTCCAGGCCTGGATAAAGGAGCAGGGTTGGAATTGTGACATTAAAAAACAATAATTGCTCAAATAAATTTAATTTGCAGTTCTAAATAAATTCAAACTGCATTTAGGACGTTTTTTACTCACCTTATGTCTCTACCACGATGTTATTTTTCTCTCCAACATCGTAGGTTACAATTACATTAGCATGACCAATTATGCAAATTAGGCGATGACGTCATTTGGCGACTTCTAGCGACTTTTAGGACAACCAATAGCGATTTTCCTTACTGAGGAGTTGGCAACACTGATACATATTTATCAGCAGAGGGCTTTGCCCAAACGTGTACAAGAAACCCAAACTACTGAAACTGAAAAAACCCCCAAACATTATTTATCTGTCTTTTACTGGAAAGATCACAACGTTTGAGTTTTGATCGTTTGTGTTCTTCTCCACCAAATGTCCACAGATACAACTAATAGTCAGTCACTCGGAATAAAAAACAAAATAACTTTCTAAATGTCAGTGAAGATTATTCTCATGAACAAACATATATGAAGCTTGTAAAGAGACAGTTTGTGAGCATGTGATAATGTGACTAGAGGGACTGGGCTTCCTGGTCTGCGTCTGCAGGATGATTGGAGGTGAAAGGGGTGAAGTACTCTCTGGCAAACAGAAAGACGTCGTCTGGTTTCCTCAACAACAGCAACTGCAGGAAGTCAGATATTAGTGCTCGAATCTCTGGATGCTGTCTCAAGTATGAGGAGTGGTCGGCCTTAAGCTCTTCCTGCCAAAACAAGACATAAACATTCATTTTCTGCTCAGATGGTCAGTAGAGTAATGGAAGTCTAGTATTAATCTCCTGTTGCACATGACCGGCTACCTTTCTGTCCAGAAACTTAGAACGCATCTGCATGTCTTCCTCCCACACAAGGGGGATCTTCTTGAAATCTACTGTAAAATTACAAATACACAAATATCACTGAATCTTTCATTGGAATCATACCTCTTATGTGTGAATATGTGTGTGGGGGATGTGTGTAACCTTTTTCTGCCTTTGATGGCAACTCTAGAAGTCTCATGGTGACTGGTGACCCCACCTGAACTCTGGTCACCAGATGCCTGATCAGAGAATATAACGAGTCAAATTGAAAGCACTAGTGTAACACATAACAGCAATAATAGCACTTACTTGTTATTCAGAAACCGCTTGAGTTAAACCAGAAAGTTCTCATGTATCACCAATATTCTTTCGCATACAAAAATCAGATGTGTCCTATTCCGTAGGTATATCTACACTTTATGGGAACCTTTCCCTTCAAAATGATCATTTTTAGAAACTGAATAGTTCCTAAGATGTCAAGGACACAAAGCAATTAACTATTCTACTATAGCTAATGTTATAGTTTGGACCCACAAAGAAGAAGCATCAATGGCTCCATTAGCAGTGGTTAATAGTTTTGGCTAACATGTGAAAGATCTCTAGTTTAAGACCAGGAGGTGACATAAATCACAAGCAGGGTTGTACCAGGAAGGATGCCAAATCAAACATGTGGGAAATAGTAGAAATTCTTCTTTTATTTACCCCTTTCCCTGTTTCATCCACACCTCTTTAACCTCACTTACTGTCGGAGTTTTCTTATCACTGGTGGGCTCCTTTGTTCCATACTTGAACTTACCTGGCACAGAGTATATAATGACTGCACTCCCTTCCACCTCACTCTGTTTGCTTCTGGACTGGGAGCAGCTAAGGTGAGTTAGCTTAATTTACTTATTTAGCTTTAAGTCAGTGACTTGAAATCTAACCTTGTTGGTCTTTTTAAGAGATTGCTAGTCCAAGTGTGGCAATCTTTTGTGTAATTTAAACTACCTTTTTCTACAAGTTAAATAAACCCAACCACTGGGGAATCACTGATGGTTCATTCATACTGGTTGCCCATGCTGATAACAGTCCTGTCCTTTTAACCTCCTAACTAATGGATCCCTTGTGATTAAGGGAAGCATTCAATAAGTAGTGCTATTGTGTGATTAAAATGATTTGTTGTTTAGTCTACATTAGTGACCTCCTATCAGCAGTAGGTAATATAAACATGAAACTCAACAGTGGGCAGCTGCAGTCTGTCTGGTGCACAGAGGGAGGCAGTAACACAGTCCAACATGTGTGGGATGATGGAGAGGTACATATATTAAGCTTACCCATCATCCAGGAAGTAGCACTGCCAGGTACTGGGGCTGCCCTCCATGGACTGAATAATCCTCTCTACCCCAAATACATCCAGGAGCTCACCCCCGACCTCTAGCTGCCTCTGACCCAGCTCTCTCTGAGCACAAAAGAGACCACAATCAGAGCTCAGTACTCAAACAAGTTACTGATGGACCAGGATGTCTTACACAGGCATAAAGACTTACAAAAGAGGTGTTAATTATGTGTAAT